CTGTATTTGCTGTGATTTTATGTTTAAGCTGTTAGTCAGATTAAGGCTGAACGTCGTAGTCAACTTACGGACTTAATAAGTCTCTCTCCCGTAAGTTGGTATTTCTTAGTTCCCTCAACACAAAGAATATTGGCATATTTTATTAAACAGCGTTTGTAACTTTAAGTTTCTTAAAGTGATAAAGTTATCATTGACTGATAACTTGTGTATTGTATTTGCTGTGATTTTATGTTTAAGCTGTTAGTTTAAGAAGCGCGACCTCCCACAGTGAGAAATGAAAGTCAGAAAGACGTTTTTCTGACTTTCATTTCTCACTGGCTAATGTTCTCACTGGCTAATGATCTCACTGTACAAAAAATTTATATGAATAATTAACATGTATGATATATGCACAAGAATTTTAATAACATGGTCTTCTTTTAATACCTCTAAAAAATACAGCTTAAGTTTTTAAAATTTTAACCTACCTAACCCTTTTTTTTTACCCGGTGGAAATCCTCATGGACCGTCCCCCCCGCCACGCTGGGACGGAGACGGGGGGGTGTGTGGGACTCGCCCTCCCTGTACCCCAGGCAGTTGACGACCTGGGGCCAGCGTGCAATGGAGGGCGCCTACCGTACTAAAACCACCGGGGGTGGTCTTCTTAGCGCCATGTTGAACCAGCCGGGGACTGCGACGCATGTACTTCCAGGCTGGTTCGGCGCCGCGCACCTTGACTTAGCGCGCCCCTCTTGGCTCAGCAGAGCCTTGCTCATGTGTCTTGGGCACTCATCTGACGCTACTTACGCGCCGCGACGGGGATGCCACCGGGCCCCCGCCGCGCCCCCTAGATGTTGTTGGGGGCGGGCGAGCCAGGGGTCCTCAGCCCCTGACCCGCCCCCTGGGATCTTTCTGCTTCCCAGGTTGCTTCTCCTTTTTGTCGCCTCTTACGACAGGCAGGAGATACCCCGGGCCTATTCGTTGGCGGGTCCCGGACGCCTACAGAGAGATCAACCCTCTCTTACCGATCTTTGTGACTAGTAGCAGTGGTCTGGGGGAGGGGGGGGAGGTAGCGGGTGCACTGACGCCGCCCCACAGGGCGGGGCCAGCCATCCCACGAATCCCACCCCCCCTCCTCCAGACCGCCTCTTCGATGAGCCGATTGTTGTTCCGGCTTCTGCTGTGCTTGGGCCCGTTCTCCTGTGGGTCCTGCATTGGTTTCCTCCTTTCGGCGGACACTTAATTTGCGACTTGGACGCCGCTTGTCCCCCTACACTTCTGCGTTTCTTGGTGAAACGCGTTGGGAGAGAGAGGGTGGCTATCCATTACGGACCGCCGCCCTCCCTCGTTGTACTCTATGTGCGTAGATGCGCCAGAACTCCTCTTCTTCTCCTTCGCATCCTCGCACCTCCTCCCTGCGTCTCCCTAAGGGGGTCAACCTCCCCCCTACGGATGCGCTCCGCCTCCTCCTTCTGCAGCAACACGTGCTCGCAGAAGGAGGAGAACGCCCTCCACGCCGGTTCTCCTTCCGTTATGGCCTCCACCATCCTTTCGCTGGGCCTCCCATGCAGGGCAGGCCTCAAGCGTATGGGCCGGCGTGTCCACCGCGTCCCCGCAGTGAAAACAGACGGGTGTCTGTTCCTTCTTAATTCTGAACAGATATTCTCCAAAACAACCATGCCCAGATAATATCTGTGTTGTCCTATAAGATGCCCTGGCGCATAGACGGTCGAGCCAGGCATCGAGGTTCGGGAGTATGGCCTGGACTGTCCTTCGGCCTGCAGTGTCCGGCCTCGAGAGCCGAGTCCTCCATTTCTCCCTCATGCGCTCCTTCGCCTGGAGGTTGATGTACCTCCTTATCCTCCCTGTTATCGGGACTCCTTCTTTCAGGCGGGCGATCCGCTCATATGCCTCCGAGTATGCCCCCGCCAGCAAGTCAGCAGGGGGGGATTCCCGCCATCAGGGTCGCTGCGGCGTGTGATACTGTGCGATAGCTGCGCGTCACACGTACCGCCATCTTTCGTTGGGCCTGCAGCAGGGCCGCCGAGGCCTTCCTGTTTCTCCGCACTGCCTCGAACCATACAGGAGACTCGTACAGCATGATAGAATGTACCACGCTGGCGTACAGTTTCCTGATCCGCCCACTACCCCCAGGTTGGGCATCAGACGTGACAATGAATTAGCCACCATGCCCAACCTGTGTGTCAATTTGAGGATGTGTCCCTCAAATTTCCATCTCGCGTCGATGTGGAGACCCAGATATTTAATCTGGGTCCCCACATCGACTCTCGTATCGTCCACCACGAGGTGTGCTGCCGGCGGCGGTCCGTGCGACCCGTCGTGCATGAACGTCGCCTCCGTCTTTTTCGCCGCCACCTTAAGTCCCAGCGCCTTGATGGCGCGTACTGCGCATGCGGTGGCAATGTTCGCCGTGTCTACGGCGTCTTTCCAGTCCCGCCCCCCGGCTAGCACCAATGTGTCGTCTGCATAGCAGATCATGGTGCAGCCGGAGGGCAGGGCGGTCCGGAGGACCTCGTCGTAGGCGACGTCCCACAGGACTGGTCCCAAAACCGAGCCCTGCGGGACGCCGCTCTCCGCGTTCCATCTTCTTTGGGCCGCGTTCTTATCAGTACAGGTTATTGTCCTGTTCTCCAGATATTGCCCTATCGTTCTGCGCAAATACACAGGAACCCTCTTTTTCACTAGGGCTCTTCTTATTGCGGCGTGGGGGAGGGAGTTAAAGGCATTTGATATGTCAAGCGCCACAGCCATAACGACTCCCCCCCCCAGTTATCGCGCCTATTTGGGCCCGGACGCACATGATTGCGTCGACCGTGGACCTAGCTTCCCTGAAGCCATACTGTCTCACGTGGAGGCCCTCTCCCTCTCCGTCCTCCAAACTCCGAACAAGCCGGGAGGTGATTACCCTCTCAAACACCTTTCCCGCCTCGTCGAGCAAGCAGATAGGGCGGTAGCTCGACGGGAGCTCCGCCGGTTTACCCTCTTTTGGGAGGAGGACCATCTTCGCCTCCTTCCATAGTTGTGGGAAATAACCCATTCTGAGACAGGCGTTCATAACCTCGCCTAGCCTCTTTGCAATCTCCCTCATGGCCGTCTTCCAAGCGATCCCTGGAATCCCGTCCGGGCCAGGGGCTTTGCCCGCTTTTAGCCTCTTAACCGCCTTAGTTATTTCGAGGTCCGAGACTTCTAAGTCATCTTGCCACTCTTCCTCCACCTCTTCATCATTGGCCAGGATGTCCTCTCCTGACGTCGGGGCCGGGTCGTTGTTCCCCGCTGCTGGGAACAGTGTGTGCACTACTCGCTCGAGGAATGCCGGCTCTAGCGTCTCTACCGTTGGAGGCGCACCCCTACTAAGTTTGTCCAAGACTAGCTTGTAAGGGCGCCCCCAAGGGTCTTCCTCTAGCTGTTGATCGATTCCTCCCAGGCCTTCTCTTTTGCCTTCAGGATCGCTCTCTTCAGCTGTGCCCTCTTCTCCTTCCATTGTGCCAGGAGAGTCTCCAGGTTTCCTTGGGCGACGGCGGTTCTCCGTCTCTCCCTTTGAACCTTTCTTCTTGCCCGGATGACTTCTCTTCTTAATTCCCCAATCTCTTCAGACCACCAGTATGTGGCCTTTCTGGGGGAGAATGTTGCCCTCGGCATGGCACAATCGCATGCCCGTGTCATGACCCGTCTGAGCCATTTCACCTCGTTCTCGATGTTCCCTTCCTGCATCACTGGCGCCCTCGCGACCCAAGTTTCCGCCGCCAGAGACGCCTGCAACTTGTCAGGGTCCATCTTTTTAATCGACCACCTAAGTGGTCTCCCATCCTCGGGCCCAACCCCTCCTACGGGAGCCAATCGAATCTCCATCTCCAGCGGAAGATGGTCAGAGAGGAGAACTATATCCTCCGCCACCCTCCAGGCCGTGACTATTCTAGTGGCCGCAGGGGAGATCCACGTTATGTCCACTATTGATTCTCCCTGCGGTCTAACGCACGTACTGGTTGTGCCTGTATTCATGAGGTGGAGGCCCAGGCGGTCTGCCCAGGCCTCCACCTCCGCGCCCTTGGCATCTGGCCGCCGGGAACCCCAAAGCGCCGACTTGGCGTTGAAGTCCCCGGCGACCAGTATTGGCCTCGGAAGGACCGCTCGGACCTGTTGCTCCAGATCCTCCAGTCGCTCCTCCAGCTCCGCGCGTGACAGGCTGGGCCTAAGGTAGACCCCTATTATCGTTAGGGGGTCCCATTCCACCATAGCCCAACCTGGTCCCTCGCCCTTTTTACAACATGGTATGTGTTGCTCCCTCGTGCGTCTCCAGTGTATAGCCACTGAGTTCTCCTGATTCACCGCCCAACATGGGTGATTCGGCACCCTCCATGGCTCCGCCACAATGGCCAAGCCTCCACCACGCTCCGCCATGGCTTGTAAGAGCAAGTCTTGTGCCTGGCGGGCGTGGTTTATGTTCGCCTGAATAATTCTTAAGGGCATGAAAGCGATGCCGTGTTGGCCTCCTCCTGGCCCTTCTCCTCTCGTTGTGTGCAGGCCCGAGTTAGAATAATTCTGGGCTGTCTGTTCCAGAGGTGCAGGAGTGTCCGTCTCCATTGCAGGAGTATCCACCTCCATTTCCTCCGGATTTGCTGGCTGGCCCACAGCCTGGTTCCGCGGGGTCGACGGTTCCGCCTGCTGTTGTCCCTCTTCGCGCCTTCTCTTTTTAAGCGCCTTCCTGGATGGCATTGGGCAGGCTTTGTTACCGGCCTTATGATTTGCCGGTAGTCCTCTAGCCGTGCAGACTGGGCACTTGGGCTCCGCACTGCACTCTTGGGCCTTATGCCCTGTCGCCCCGCATCTGCAGCAGACTTCGCTGCGGTCAGTCCTGCTACGGCATTGAGCCCTGACATGGCCTCTCTCCAGGCATCTAAAACAAATTAGAGGCCTTGCTTCCAGTAGCTCCAATCTTGCTATTATCCACCCAATCTTTACTTTGCCCGGGGCGGCTGCCCTTTTGGCCGACACCAGCGGGCATTGCACCCATATGGTGCCCAGGCCATTGGGAGCGAGCTTGATCTCGCCAGTCTTGACTTCCGGGGGCGTACATCCCCCGGCTTTAGCCACCGCCTCCTTAACGTCCTCCACCGTGATGGAGTCATCAAGGTCTCGGATGCGGATTTCCGCCAGTTTCGTGGGGCGCGTGATTTTAACACCCTCTTTTCCACCGACGACCGCTCTCATCTTCTCTGCCAGACAGTCTGCCTTCTCTTTGGCATTTTCCCCCGTGACCTCGAGGATTATCGCCCCTGTCTGCGCTCTTCTGGGCTTGAGTGCGTCAATGCCCAGTTCCTTTAAGTTAATATGCGACTTGATTAGTCGCATCCCTTCGCCGTATGTACCCTGAGGGAACGTCAGGGTCACAGCCTGCGTCCTCGGGTTTCTTTGGCTGCCTCTCACGCTCTGCGTCTTCTTCTTCTCCGGGGCATTCCTCTTCTCCTGTTGCAGAGCGTTGCCCTTGTCCGTTGGTGCCTTTGGCCTCATGTCGTCCTTCCTCCTCAGGCCTAACCAACCTTTTTTTTTTACGTGTGGAAATCCTTTATGGATACCCGGGCCCCCCTCCGGGAAGGGAGTTTACATTAAGTGGCCCGGGTTATGTGGGACTGCCCCCCTAATGGCGATCGGGTGCGGCCGCTGACATTGCGACCGCTGGGCTTACCGCACTAAAACCACACGGTGGACTGCACTGTGCTTTACTTGGGGGACGCCCAGGACTTGGCAGAGCCATTACTTCTGGACGCCCCCCGTACCGGCCCGCCATTTGATGGGGGCCGCTGCGCTCCCTCCCCCGTTGGTGTGGGGGAGGGGGGACTCCTCCCCGCAGGGGAAGTCCACTACTCTCTTGGGCGGCAGAGGCGTCCACGGCCTCTACCGCCCGCCTCCGTGGAGGCAGGGCCTGACGGGGTTCCCGGCCCGCCAGACCCAGGCCGCCTCCCCCCTTGTCGTTGGGGGAGGGCCATCTCCTCACCGCCTCGGCGGTGTTCCGCCCGCGA